GCAGCACAGGTCCTCTACTCTCGTCCAACTCTGAGGAGTAAGGAAGTTGTGCCACCAAGAGCAGAGGCCAGGAGAGGGGCAACAGCTGGGTGTCAGTGGCCAACCCGCAGCTCAGAGCCCAAGGAGCCGGGAACTGATGGAATCGGAAGCAGAGCTTTCGAGGGGGCAGAGATGGAGCTGAGAAAGGGCGGATAGGGCCTTCTCGCTTCCTACCCATCCAGGTGGCTACCACCTCAGGAATCAGGTGGTCTATTTTTTGAAGAAATGGAAAAGAGGCTCTTGATCCAGGAACAGGATAGAGCTGGGGCAGGTGTGATGTGGGTGACAGGTGGCTGACGGACAGGACAGTCAGCAGTAGATGGTGAGGCTCTGACCTGGTACCCTGCTCACTCCCACCTGCAGCACTGCGGCTAGGTGCATGTGCCAGACAGAAGCTGAGGCACTTTAAGCATATTAGGTGTGGAGCTGCCACTGGCCAGACTCCAATGTGCCCTGCCAGGCCCTGAAGTCCATCAGCTTCCAGATGCTTCTTTCAAATCTCAGCAGCCACTCAAGGACAGCCTCTAGGGAGAGGAGCCCTCCGGCAGCCATCGTCCCTCCTTCCACAGCAGCAGATCCTCTGCTGGGACACCACAGAGTGCATCTGCTGGCCTTCCCTGCAGCTAGGAACGGCCAAGAGAGTTCGGGAAAAGACGTGAAAGGAAGATGGAGAACCAAGCAACAAAGAGGCGACTTGAGGGACACAGAGGGGAGGCTGCAGAAGAACTGGACGGAGGATAAGAAACCTCTCAGCTCAGCAAGAACACAAACCCAATGCCAACTTTGAAAATGATAACCCATCATCAGGAGACCCACAGCGAGGGCTACGGCCTCAACTTCTGTATTGAGAAGCCAACGTCAGAAGGCAAGAGATCATTCACCAGCGCAGACCGTGGAGAAGGCAGCACACAGTGTCACCAGGGAAGCTTCAGAGGTCAGGCTTGGGAGGAGGGGGCTGCTTGAAGTAGGCGGCTCAAGGAGCTTCCAAGTAATACATCGACCTCTCCATGAGGCTGCCTGGACCTTCCAAGTCCACCTCACACTCTAAAGTGGCAGCATGTGATGTGCTCTTCCCTCCCCTTGCTGGGGTACACTCACATTTGCCTGATGCAGCAGATTTTGCCCAATATCTACTTCCCCATGTTTGACACTGCCAACTCATTCTATGCAACAACATGCTAATTAAAAAACATTTTGGGGGGCTCAAAATGTGGCTCAAGTGGTAGCGCGCTTGCCCAGCACACATGAGGCGCTGAGTTCGATCTTCAGCACCACATTAAAAAAATGAAAATATTGTGTCCACTTAAAACTAAAAAATAAATATTAAAAAAACATTTTGGGCCAGGGGCGTAGCTCAGTGTTAGAACATCTGCCTAGCATGCACGAGGCCCTGAATTCTATCCCTACCACTGCAGTTTCCCAGTTCCCATACAGAGGGTCTATATAACATGGGTCTGGCCAGAAATATATTTTTAAAAATATATTTTTAGTTATAGATGGACACAATACCTTTATTTTGTTTATTTTTTATGTAGTGCTGAGAATACAACCCAGTGCCTCACAGGTGTTAGGCAAGTGCTCCACCACTGAGCCATAATCCCAGCCCCAGATGTATATTTTCATTGTATTTATTATTTTTGTGTGCAGTACTGGCGGTTGAACCCAGGGGCACTTTACCATGGAGTTACCACCTCTTGTCAATCTTGTGCCTTAGGCTTCTGAGTCGCTAAGATTATAGGTGTGTGCCACAAACCAGGCAGGCAGTGAGACAGAAGTCTTGGGGAGATTTCTGGAATACTTTAAAAAATATTATTCATTTTTAGTTGTAGTTGATCATAATACCTTTGTTTTATTTCTTTATTTTTATGTGGTGCTGAGGATCGAACCCAAGGCCTCGCGCGTGCTAGGTGAGTGCTCTACTGCTGAGCCACAACTCCAGCCCCTGGAATACTCTTAAGGTGAATACACACCATATTCTCCTCCCCTTTCTTCTTACAATCACGATAACCTTGTGACCTAAAGACTGAGTGACCTTCTTAAGAGGAAAAAGACAACCAAGACATTCCAGGGTGGGCAAGGACACAGAGGAGGGTGGGTAAGCATACAGAGGAGGCTGGCACCCCGTGACCATGTGACTGCTACACCAGCCTTGCACTGCCTCCTTCACAATTCCCTTACATAAAAATTAAGTTTCCAGCTTTCAAAGTACTGTTTTTCAGGATTCTGTTGCTTTCCACTAGATGCAAATCCTTCATAGCCTAGGTTCGGTATGCCAACGGACAGGGTCAGAATGCCTAGACTACCTTGTTTGCCTCAGAGACTGGGGTACAGTTTGGCGCATGGAAAGTGCTCCTACTGTTTGTTGAATGAATGATGCAGAAAAGGTTGCAGAAAACTGCTGTGAGTATAACCTGCACGGGGAGCATCATCCTCAGAAGCTTGGTGAAAAGACAATGAGCCCAGAGAGCAGTGCCATCTCCACCAACAGAGGGACAGGAAGTGCAGAAGGCAACCAGGGTGCAGAAGCCAGGTAGGAGGAAGGCAAACTGGGAAGGAGATTCTTAAAAATTAATTGACTTTAGTTTTTTTAGACAGTGGGATCGAATATTTTCAACTTCTAAATAAAGTATACCCACAGGTAAGTGCAAAAATAAGTGGATGGTTATATAACAAATTTCCATGACCTAACGACACCCATGTGCCAGAGGGAGACCAAAACACACAACATCACCACATCTCCCAGTCAATAACCCCCGTCATGAGGACTTTCTTCAAGACTTTTCTTAACAGCTGCTCACAAAGAACAGGGAAAGACACACGTTTTTATGCTTTTTAAGCAATGAAGTTTTCGAGATTTACATTTAACTTTCAAAGCATCCTTACCCGTTTATACCTCACTTTGGCATCATAGAAGCGATTTTGGTGGAAAAGGTAATTGCCAAACTCCCTTTCAGTTGTTGCCACTTTGAGTACCTTCTGAAGAGGAAATTGGTCTTGCTGCTCCTGGGGATCAAAGAAAAGAATCCCCAGTAAGGAAGTCAAAAGCCACAATGCTACAATACAAGTGTATTGCAGCCGGGACCACGGAAACTGTGAGCCCTGTCGACTCCTCCATGTGTGCAGAAGTCATCCCAACAGAGGCTGCGAGAGGTTACTATCACCACTGGCCTATTTTCCAGGCTAGAGCCAGAGGGAAACCGCAGCAGCTGACCTTGAGACGCTCACTGAGGCAACAGCATCCACAGCCTTAAGAACCGACGGAGCTCACCCAGCATGGACTCAGGCTCACAGCAGCACTTGTCCAGCAAGCTTCACCAGCTCCTGGTTTGCTCAGAGCTCTGGTGGTCTTTGTGGTCATGATCCCAAGTGTCAGAATCACCCACAGAAGCCAGGAGTGGTAGCACAAGCCTATAATCCCAGCGATTTAGGAAGCTAAGGCAGGAGGTGAGCAAGTTCAAGGCCAGTCTTGACAACTGAGAAACACCCTATCTTGAAGTAAAAAATAAAAAGGGATAGGGATGTGGCTCAGTGGTAAAGCACCCTCCCCCAGTTCAATCCCCAGCGCACACGTGCGTGCGCACACAAATACACACACAAAATCACCTGCAAAGCCTCTTCTCCGGGCCCCCCCCCCCAGAGATCCTACATCACTACCTGAGGTGGGTCCCAGGCACCTCCAAAAACTTATACTCTGTGGAAGATGAGAAAAAGTGAAATTCTTACTTGGAGCTCTGACAGTTTATGGAGATTCTGTATCATATGGAAACGCAAAACCTGGGAAGGACATCTAAGGGCATGTATGCAGTGTGCCACATGGTAAAGACAGTGCGTATGATTGCTGACAGGACCTAAGCCCAGCATCTACCAGAAGGGGTAAACAGAAGGCTACAGGATAAGGTCAAGACTTAAGTTACATTGGGCGCAGAGGTGCATGCCTATAATCCCAGCAGCTCAGGAGGCTGAGGCAGAAGGAGTTCAAAGCCAGCCTCAAGAAAAAAACAAGTCACTAAACAACTCAGTGAGTCTCTGCTCTAAATAAAAAACAAAGTTGGGGATGTGGCTCAGTGGTCCACTGCCCCTTAGTTCAATCCCTGGTACTTAAAAAAAAAAAAAAAAAAAAAGATAAGTTACGAGGACAGTGACCACTCATCCCAGCTTACACCTGATGTCCGATTATCTTGCCCAGTTACCAGTGCCTTCTTTCATTCTCCAGTGCCCTAAACAGGATCATAAATTATAGTCACCTTAGTTATAAGCTACCAATGCCTGACTCCCTGGAAAACAAACAGTGCTAAAAATCCGTTCCCTGTCTTTCTTTTCTTTTATTTAGAGAGAGAGAATTTTAATATTTATTTTTCAGTTTTCATCGGACACAACATCTTTGTTTGTATGTGGTACTGGGGATTGAACCCGGGCCGCACGCATGCCAGGCGAGCGTGCTACCACTTTAGCCACATCCCCAACCCCTGTTCCCTGTCTTTTAAGGAAATCCAGGCAAAGGGTGAATGAGTGATCAGCTCAACCTGCGAACCCATAGCCATACCTTGGCCCCACACATTTATCTCAGAAGGATGAGACTAGGAGGTGAAGTCCTCTTCCACTATCACCATGCAGGAAGCCTGGGGGAATCTGGACCCCCAAAATCAAGGGCGGCGGGCTAGCTAGGAGGACGACCCAAACAAACTCATCCCTCCTTCCGGAAAGTGTTGGCACCTGTACTCAAGAACTTACAGCTGAAAGGGCACAAAACTTGTCTGACTCAGCTGAGTCCAGGAAGTCAAGCAGCTCGATCTCGAACAGGACAGTAGTGTTGGGGGGAATCAGGGGAGGACAGCCCAGCGTTCCATAGGCATAGGTTGGTTTGAACAGAAACCTGGCCAGCTCCCCTCTCCGCATGCTCAGAAGACCCAGTTCCATACCCCAAAGGGTAATGTCTGAAAGAAGGGACAGAGAACTCACTTCAAGCTCACCCATCATCCTGTTCCAATACCATCATCTCTTCCCCCTTCCAAGTCCATACCCCAAGCCTTCTGCATTGTGGTCCCAGCTGCTGGTCAGCCTTGCTTCCTGTGCCCCTCCCATTCCCAAACTCCAGCTTCTCCCCACTCAGCAGTATTCTGGCATCTATGTTTCCATCTGGCTCCTTCTTCCTGCTGTGTCTGCCTCCTCACCCCATGTTCAGATTCTACCCCTAACTTACTCAAACTTAAGAGCTAATTTTGAATGCCCTCTTCCATGAATCCTTCTGTGATCCTCCCAGCTGAAACTACTCATGCCTTCATCAACCGCACCCACAACACTGCACATAGCTCCCAGGCCCTCTTAATGCAGATCAATCTCTGCCACACGAGGTTCTTAATGGCAGTAATGGCCTCATTATCTGAGTACAAACTTTTATTTATTTATTTTGGTACATGTGGTGGCAAGCAAGCATCCATGGACGTTTATTTAACAAATGAACAAGGATATGTACCCAATGGGTAAGCGGGGGTAGGTTAGGATTCAAAGATAATCTCGCCAGTTAGCCACAACCCAGAAAGCTGGGTCTTCAGGGGAAATGGGAAACAGAACATGGCTGGTTCACTAAAAGACAGCCTCAGAAAAACCAACTGTAAGAACCTGGGCTTTGGACAGTTTCCCATTCCTAAAACCTTGTGCGCCTTCTTTTCCTGCTCCCAGTCTGAACTTACCTTCTCCAAGTTTCATTAGTCGCGGAGTTTTCCTGAAACAATTAGAATCGAAAGGCTTGTCCATGTGCTCCAAGTATCCAGAATATTTCACTAGGACAGAAGAGAGTGGTGAAGAAAACTCGCAAGGCACCCTCACCAGCATGACCCTGAGTGTGCAGTTACTCCACGGGAACACAGGACTGCCTGAGCTGGAGCTGCTTGAGACCCCGAGCCACAGGGGACTCTTGGCGTTGAGGACGCGGCTCTTGGGCCCCGAGGCTCCAGAGTTCCACTCTTGCGCCTTGGCGCGCTCCGCGTTCAGGGCGGTATCACGCAGAGGGCACATGGCATCCTTCACGATCCCCTTAGAGAGTGCACTCAAAAATTAATAAATTAAAAACAACAAAGAAACACGTGGCCTCCTTCTCCCCAAAGGAAATGCAGAACGACAACACAGCCCTGCCCCCGTACCTAGCACCGAGGCGTCAGGTGTCACCAGGTCCCCGGTGCCCTCTCGGATGACGTCCTTCAGCACGCCCTGGTCTCCGGTAATGTCCAGCATCCTCTGACTCAGGCGCTGGTAGGGCGACTGGGAGAGTGAGAGAGGCAGACCTCAGAGCCCCAGACCACCCTAGACCCTGATGTGGCGTCCTAGGCCCTACCTGGCCCGGGGCGTCGTCCCCTTCCAGGCCTCCTGGGTTCCGGGCGCTGCCCCCCATGTCCGCGCTGCCAGCCCTACGCGCCGCGCGAGCCCTCAGCCCGCCCCAGGCTGCCCGCGCTGGCCGGGGCTCCGAGGTTCCGGAGGTTCCGAGGGCGGCCCACCGCCCCCTCGTACCCGGCAGGCCGCTCCCGACGGCGGCGTTCCGTTCCGGGGCCTCGAGAAGGTGCTCATCGCCGGGGACCAACCGCCACCAACCGCCGCCAACGGCCTGCACGCGGCAGGAACCTCACGGGCCAACGGTGGAGCACGTGCAGGGGACACGCGAGGGCCTGGAGGGAGGGTGACAGCCGCGCAAAGCACGACGGGGCACACGATAAGGGCGGGCGCGGGGGCGTGGGGCACGTGATGGGCGCGCAGAGCACGACGGGCGCACGATAAGGGCGCGCGGGGGCGTGGGGCACGTGATGGGCGCGCAGAGCACGACGGGGGCACGATAAGGGCGCGCGGGGGCGTGGGACACGTGAAGAGAGCGCGGAACACCACGGGGCACGTGACAGGGGCTCGCGAGGACTTGGCATGACAGCGCGCGCGGAGCATGGGGGGCGTGGTGGGCGGCACGGAGCTTGGCGAGGGCACCTGGCGCGACTAGGCGCAGCCCAGAGAAGCAGGTTATGGGGACGCGGTGGGTCATGTGTCGGGCCTCAGGGAAGAACCCGGTGGACCACTTAGTGCAGGTGGGTGGGGGCTCACGTGGGGGAGCACAGGCAACAGGATGGAGGACGCGACTGGGAGCCTGGGTGGCGCACACGGCCAGGGTAGGCTGGGGAGGCCGCTCCAGAAATATGGCCTCATGTTGGGGAGAAATTCAGGCCCTGGCCAAGACTAAGGGAGTACCCCCGGTTCTTGGCGTGGGAGGGGGGGAGGGGTGGTGATAATTTCTCATGCTTCACAGAGTCCTCGAAATCTCTTTCGCGGCACAAAGGAGGATGGACCCTTGATCTGATCCCTCATTCCTTAGGTCCTTTCCCTCTTGCCTTCTTTATCCCAGGAGTTGGGGGAAACGTGAACAAAGCCTTTGTCCCCTTGTTCCCTCCTACTGCCCTTTGGGGAATAACTACTCCAAGAGTGGCTGTAAAGGTCTTTTCACTTACCATCTCATCCTCATCCTGCGGTTTCTTTTCAATACTTTTTAATACCACTTTCACCCAGACCTGGCCAGGAAGGAAAACAAAAACAAAAAACATGCTCTTGTAGCCAGATGCATCAGACATCTCTTGGCTGAGTAGTTGAGTTTGGTCTCCTTGAGCTGAGATCCAGGTGTTAGGAAGATTGCATTATTTACTGGACACCCAGGGAAGAGTTCACCTCCAAGTTCCTTCACATAGTTGGCAGAATCCAGATCCCTGAGGTTCTGGATTTGAGGTCTGTCTCCTTGTTGACTGTCAGCCAGGGGCCACCCTTAACTTCTAGAATCCTCCCTTCAGTCCCAGCATGTGTGTGGCTCTTTTTCAGAAGCAGCGACAGTGCAGCCACTTCTTACAATGGTTGGGCTCTTGCCTCTTTTTCTTCTGCATCTCTCTCTTGACTTCAGCCGTTCAAAGTTCTCTTCTGTTAAAGGCTGATGTAATTAGACTGGGCCCAGGTTATAGACCTGATTTACCTCTGCAGGGTGGTTCCTTTTGCCATAGAAGGTAACATTCACAGACTACAGGAATCCGAGCATGGGTATCTTGGGGCCGTACTGCCTCCCACAGTTTCCCCGGGCACCACACCTCCTTCTGCTTCACTGGCCCTGCTCAGTCTCTTCTTCTTCCTGACCTCTAACTATTAGCAACCTCAGGCCAGTCCTTGGACTCCTGGCCGTCCCATTCTATTTTTTCAATCTCTGAGGGATTCCAACCATCCCCATGGATTTTTTTTTTTTTTTAAAGAGAGAGGGAGAGAGAGAGAATTTTTAATATTTATTTTTTTAGTTATCGGCGGACACAACATCTTTGTTTTGTATGTGGTGCTGAGGATCGAACCCGGGCCGCAGCATGCCAGGCAAGCACGCTACCGCTTGAGCCACATCCCCAGCCCCCCCACGGATTTTAACATACGAAGTTCCTAACCATATATACCCAACCAGAAGAGGGCCTCTTCCGAACTCCAGAGTTCCAGGATTCTGTTTCCAGTGGCCTGTTTCAGTGACAGAAGTGTGAGGTCAAAGTGTGATCCCCACACTGGCAGCATCAGTGTTGCCAGGAAACTTTTTGGAAATGCACATTTTTCGTCCCATCCGGGTACTCCTGAAACACCTTCTGGGGACGAGACCCAGCAATCTACTTAACAAGGCTGCATGTGATTCCGTTGTTGGCCGGCCGTCTGCAGACCACTGAGCTACTCAGGCATCTGACCCCAGATTTCCCTGTCTCCTCTTTTTTTTTTTTTTTTTCTTTTCCTTTTTGTACTGGGGATTGAACCCAGGGGATGCTCTATCACCAAGCTACTCCCCATCCCTTATTTTTGAGACGGGGTCTCATTAACTTGCTGAGGCTTCAAACTTGTGATCCTCCTGCCTCAGCCACCCAATCACTAGACTTAGAAGTGTGCACCACCGTGCCCAGCTTGCTCTACATCCAATGTTGTTATCAGCCATTGACATCACCATCCATCCACCAGGTGCTCAAGGCCCTGTGATCCAGTATCTTGTGTGGCAGCCACCATGCTGTTTTGAAAGTATAAATCACTACGAAAGTAAACATCTTGGCCAGGCGCGGTGGCACACACCTGTAATCCCAGTGGCTCAGGATTGAGGCAGGAGGATCACCAGTTCAAAGCCAATCTCAGCAATTTAGCAAGGCCCTTAGCAACTCAGTGAGACCCTGTCTCTAATAAAATATAAAAATAAGGGACTGGGATGTGGCTCAGTGGTTTAGCCCCCCTGGGTACAACCCCCAGAACCCCCCCGCAAAAAAGCACCATGCAGCTCTGTGAGACCCTGTGTTTTAAAAAAATAAAAAATAGGGCTGGGAATGTGATGCAGGGGTCAAGTGCCCCTGAGTTCAATCCCTGGCATTCACAAAACAAAACAAAACCAAAATCTATCCAGTTGTTCCCACTGCCCTTAATGTGAAATCCAAACCTTTGCCCTGACCCTTCCTGCTGACTCCTCTGACCTCATTTCCTGAGGTTCCTTCTGCCTTAGGCTTTTGCTACCCAGGTTCCCTCTATCATGTGTCTCACAAATACCAAGCTCTTTGTGGCCTCAGGGCCTTTGCACTTTCTAACCCATTGCCTGGATTGCACTCCTGCAGCCTTTCAGGCAGCTGGCTTCTTTTTATCCTTCACCTTGTTGTGGGAGGCTGTGAACTTGAGCTGGGCGCCGGCTCTAGGCCATAAGACCAAACCAACGTTGAATTTAGTCATAGTAACAAGTTTTGGTTGGTTGTAGGAGGTGCTGCAGCCAATTTTAACTAATAAAGCTGTGTACGGATTTAACTTGATAAGTTGTGACGAGGTGAGTAGCCCGTTGTTTTCTAAGTCTCATTTCTGTTATCCCACAAATGCTGTCAGGTGACATTGGTGGTTGGAGTTCCCAGGACCTGCTCTGAGAGAGGCTGGGTTCACAGATTGTTTTTGTTTTGGTTTGCTCGGGTGAATTCTACTAAGCTTAATTGGCCTAAGGAATTTTCCTTTCAACAAGCTCAACTGTCCCCTCTTCAAAGACACCGCCCTGCCTCTTTCTAAAATAGTCCTCCACACAAGCGCCTCTTCATTCCCTGTGTTCACCACTGTTTACTTCCTGCGTGGCATTGATGGTGTGTGTATGGCCTTCTAGCCCCCCGCCCTCTGGATGAGACACTCCAGAAGGTCTTGCTTTCTGCTAAGTCCTGAATTCCCGGATCAGCGTTTGATACATCACAGGTGCTCAACAAATATTTGTTGAGTGAAATACAATGAGCCTTCTCTTGCCTGAACCAGGCCTTGGTCTTGCTGGTCAGGGGGAGACCTCACCCCACTGGCAAACCTGGAGCTCAGACCTTGTTGAGACTGAGTCTGTCCTTCCTGTCTTTTCCAATTAACATTCCCCCATACCCACGTAATACATATGGTAACCATAATATTCATTAACTGCATCATAGAATATCAGTTTCTGCCGGTGTGGTGGCTCATGTCTGGAATCCACTTGGGAAGCTGAGGCAGGAGGATCTCAAGTTCAAGACCAGCCTGGGCAACTTAGTGAGACCCTGTTGCAAAACAAAAAACTGGGATGTAGCTCGGTGATAGAATGTCCTTGGGCTCAATTCCCAGTACCAAATAAATAAATAAATAAATAAATCACTGAGCTTCTAAAACCTTGGAAGGCCTCATATTTTGTAGGTTCATAATTGAGTGATATTGAAAGAATCAGATGTAAAACACTACAATTCTGTGTGACTCATTGTCTATGAAATTCAGAAACGGGCCCCAAGAGGATACGTACGAGTCAGGATGGCGCTGTCCTTGTTCAGGTGCTGGCCGGGAGGAGACATAGGGAGCCCCTGGGTAGTGGGAATGGTCACCTTGATCTTCTGAGTAAATGTATGTGTGCGAGATGTACAGCAAACTGCTGGTTAGGATTTATAGATTTTATTAAATTACACCTCACTTTAAAAATCTAAGCAAATTAAAACACTTTCAAAAGGCTATGAAAGGGAGATTCAGAAAGCAGCCGGTCACAGCGTGTGTCTGGCCCTGTTTGGGGTTGGTGGGTGTGGAGGTGCACCCTCCTCCATCTCTGCTCCTCCTGGCTCCTGGCCAATGCAGTACCTGAAAGCTGAGGTTATCGGAGTGGCCGGCAGAGGCTGCCTCCCCAGTCTCGTGATGTGACCCAGTTTCCACCTGATTCTGAGTGACCTTGGAGACATTGGGACAACATTTCCCAGTGTTGCTGGGAAAGAGGAGGAGGGGAAGAGGGCAGGGGCAGAGACCAGGCAGGGGAGCAGGTGTCCAGCTGTGCCCCCAGGTCTCTGGGGAGAAGAGAGCCGTGATCAGCCACTGCTGCTGGCGTGAGGTCCTCATGGGAAGCCCGGTGGCCGGTGAGAAAGCAGGTGGGCAGTGTTGGGCCCTCCGTGGTCTGCAGCACGCTGCTGCTTTTCCCCTCTGCTGGTCACTCTTCTTGGGGGCTGGATATGAGGTGGGGACAGAGCCCTTCTAGGTCCCCAGCTCTTAGGAACAGTGCTGTTGTGAGACCAGGCGGTCTGCTCTCGAATTGTCTGAGGGTGCCCATTA